GGGGGGGGGGGGAACGGTATGGGAGTGGATCGAGAAAGTGCCCTAAGTCTGGCTAGGACGGAGGACTGTATCTAAAAAGTAACAGGAGCCATGCCCAGGTCAGGACTCTACTTGCCTCTGACAGGAAGAAAGAAGGAAACATTTAGAAATGAAACCAAGAAAGAAAGCTGTGTGAGTCTACAGCTAATAGGACTTCTATTTTCTGCTGCACAGAACCATAGCAATGTGACTTAAATGAGGGGTCGTTCAGAAAACTGACAATAAAACAGGCGGCATTGAGGGTGAGAGTTAAAAGGGGCCTCAAGGATCATCTAGCAGGACCTTATGTTATCATTTTACAGGCAAGTGGCTGAGGTCCAAAGAGTTGATGTCCCTGAGACTGCAGGTGAGCACAGCTTCACACTCCTTCCCAACAATTTTTCAGAAACTTCCACCTTGAGCTCTGGAAGTGCCCAGAACCTCATCTGTGCAGTGGTCTGGGAACTCCCTGCCCACTCAGCCCCTCCTGCTCTGCTCCGCATGGCAGTCAATGGCTTGGGATGTGTCAGCCTTGTTGGTGTGTTAGTTTGCCAGTAAATAAAGGGCCTCAAGCAACAGAACTTAAATTCTTCAAAAGGCTACTGAGGAAGCAAGTCTCATAAGGCCAGGGATTCAGCTGTGCATGGCTCTAGGATGGTGCAGGGAGGGAGGGAAGGAGTTTAGGGCACTCAAGTCTGAAACATTGGTGAGCTCTGACTCAGGACACAAAAGTAGGGCAGAGTCCGTAATTGAACACTTTCTTCTTTATAAAATAAAAACTTACTTATTGAAACATCCATAAAAATCTCTCAAGTTTGGTCCCTAATTGGGGTGAGTGAGTCCAGGGAGGGGTAGGGAATGAACAAAGAACATGAATTTACTCAAAGAACTAGCAGTTGTCAGTAAATACTGTACCATGTGGACTTTAGAGATAAAACAAGCAGCCATTACTGACTTCTGGGAAATTCATATAAGACATGAACACCCACAACTCCCAGATACTCTGTTGGGGGAGGTTACCGGAGACTTTGGACTCCACAGCCAGCTTAATAATCTTAAATGAGAAAACAGTCCTCTGCACCTACACAAATTTAAGAGCCCCTTTGCATGTGCCATCTTACATCTTTGTATTTCGTGTTTTCAGTAAATATTCGACAGGAGTGAGAGAAAGCAGACAGATAAGCTCCTCAGAACCGAGCATTCAATTGAATACATTCAAAGTATATTTTTAATATAAACTTTTCTAACAACATACCTTTTAACAGCAATTTGAGGAAGAGGGTGCAGATTCAGCTTCCATGGGATCTGGGGTTTACACAGTTTTAAAAGCCCTCTTTAATAATATATATACACAAAATTGTGAAAGAAAAGAATGCCAGTAACTACTGTGAAGTCATCTGACAGAGGGGGAATGTGACAGAAGGAAAACAGTGGAAAGACACAGTGGTCTTAATTGATTGCAGCAAAAATATCTTACTTTTGCAAAATTTACAAAATTTAGATTGTTCTGGTGACCTTTATGTTTTTCTGACTGGACATTTACTGATACAGAAATACATACATGGGTGTTATGGACTGAATGTGTGCAGGGCTTGATGAGGTGACGAGAGTGGGGCCCTCGTGATGGTACCAGTGCCGTTGGAAGAAGAGAGAACAGAGCGCTCTCCCTCTCCCCCCTTCCCTCCCTTCCCGCATGAGCACAAAGAAGAAGTCAGATGAACGCACAGTGAGCTGGCAGCTGCCTACAAGCCGAGAGAAGGGGCCTCAGGATGAAAGCCACCTTGATCTTGGACTTCCAGCCTCCAGAACTGTGAGAAATACATTTCCTTTGCTTAAGCCACCAGTCTGTGGTATTTTGTTATGGCAGCCTAGCAAACTAATAGAGAACACAAAAAGTGAAAAAATATCAAATATTAGCTAAAAGGAAAAAATCTAAATGACAGTAGAAACACAGGCTGAAGATTTAAAAAAGAGACAAAATAGGAGAGAGGAAAAATTAAGAAATGTCTTCCTCCTCTCTTTTTATACCATCCTGTTTGGGTTTTTTTGCTTTGTTTTACAAAAGGAGATTATGCCATAATTTTGTAGTTGAAATGTTCAGGATATTAAACTATTTTTTTCAAAATATAGTTTTAAGTCCTAGCCGGTTTGGCTCAGTGGTTAGAGCGTCGGCCCACAGACTGAAGGGTCCTGGATTCAATTCTGGCCAAGGGCATGTACCTCGGTTGCAGGCTCAATCCTCGGCCCATCGGGGTCAGGGCACATGCAGTAGGCAACCAATCAATGTGTCTCTCTAACATCGATGTTTCTCTCTCTCTCTCCCCCTTCCACTTTCTCTGAAAAGCAAGGGAAAAAATATCCTCAGGTGAGGATTAAAATATGTATATTTAATATATATAAAGTAAGTAAAGTTGAGAAAACAAACTTTAAGTACTTAAAAAAAGAGTAAAAATCTTCCTGTAAAATTTCTTTAAAAGGCAAGAATACTTAAATTTCTTTACACTGGCAACAGATCTTCATGATACTTAAAGTCAATTTCCAGGATGACCTGAAAACTTTAAAATGCTACAGCTTCTCTGTACTGTGAAGGAGACTTATGGAGAGAATTTCATAAATTTGGGAAAAGTAAAAATGTCAGACTAGAATACTTACTCCTGGCTCCTAGCAGATGTGTGTCCCTTAACTGGGCCTAACACAAAAACATTTGACTACATATTCAAGCCCTCTTCACTGAGAGTGCTGGGAAGAAAGGTATCTTTTTTTATAACTAGAGTTTTAATGGTTAAGTTATAAAAATAAACATTTTTTGACAGGAATTACCAAAAAATGCTTGCATTTAGAGCTATGGTTCTCATAAGAGGAGAAGGAACATCAGAAGTAGAATCTTCAAGGGGCTTTGCCAAAAGAAACATACTCTTGGTTCTAGTTGAGATGGCAGAGTAGGAGGATGCTGTGCTCACCTCCTCCCATGACCACAGCAAAATTACAACTAAATCATAAGAAATCAACCTGGAGAACCATATGAAAACTAGCTGAACAGAAGTCCTATAACTAAGGCTATAAAGAAGCAGCCTTATGGAGACTGGTAGGAGAGGCAGAGATGCAAAATGGGCTGGCCCCACACCCACATGCAGTGGTTGAGGATCCCAAGAGATACCTCAACTGCAAGGATGCCCTCTGAGGAGTGAGGGGTCTCAGCCCCTCACCAGGCTCCCCAGCCAGAACACCAGTGCCAGGGTGAGTAGTACACAAAATATCTGGCTGTGAAATTCAGTAGGGAGGGAGCCCATCCATTCAGGTGAGATGGAAGCCTGCTGGAAACCCAGACATCCTCTTAAAGGGCCACCACACAGACTCTTGCTTGCAGACACTCACACTGGGCTCCAGCAAAGGGACGGCAGCTCAGGGGACCACAGAGACATAAAGGGAGAAACTAAGTTATGTGGCTTCTGGGCAAATAAAATCAGAAACAAAAGAGAGGTGAAAACTGACACCACAGAACTACAAAAGATTATAAGAAAATGCTACAAACAATTATACGCCAACAAATTTGACAATCCGGAAGAATTGGTTAAATTCTTAGAAACATACAATCTTCCAAGACTGAATCAAGAAGAAACAGAAAATCTGAAGAGACCAATTATAACCAATTAAATTGAAGCAATAATTTAAAAAATACCAACAAACAAATGTCCTGGACCAGATGGCTTCACAGGTGAACTTCACCAAACATTCAAAGAAGAATTAATACCTATCCTACTCAAACTAGTCCAAGGAATTCAATAGGATGAAAGGCTCCCAAACTCATTCTATAAGGCCCTGATTCCAAAACTGGGCAAAAATATTACCAAAGAAAACGAAAAATATAAGTTAATATCCCTGATGAACATAGATGCAAAATTCCTCAACAAAATATTAGTAAACCTAATTCAGCAATACATTTAGAAGATTATACACCATGATCAAGTGGAATTTATTCCTGGGATGCAAGGTTGGTTCAATATCCACAAAAATCATGTGGTCGTATCAACAGGTGCAGAAAAGCAACAGGATGCAAAATTCAGCATCCATTTATGATAATAACTCTCAACAAAGTGGTAATAGAGGGAACATACCTCAGCATAATAAAGGCCATATATGACATACTCACAGCTAACATCATACTCAACAGGAGAAAGCTAAAAGCATTTTCCTTAAGATCAGGAACAAGACAAGAATGTCCACTCTTACCACTTTCATTCAACATAGTATTGGAAGTCCTAGCCCCAGCAACATGAAAAGAAAAAAATAATAAAAGGCATCCAAGTTGGAAAGGAAGAGATAAGACTGTCATCATTTGAAGACAGAATGGTACTATATAGAGAAACCTGAAAGATTCACCAAAAAACTATAAGCACTCATAAATGAATTAAGTAAAGAATCAGGGTACAAAATTAATATTCAGTAATCAGTTGCATTTTATAAACCAATAATGAACTATCAGAAAAAGAAATTAAGAAAACAATCCCATTTACAATTGCATCCAAAAAAAAAACACCTAGGAATAAGTTTAACCAAAGAGGTAAAAGATCTATACTCAAAAAAGTATAGGATGTTGAAGAAAAAAATTGAAGAAAATTCAAATAAATGAATGTATATACCGTGATCATGGATATGAAGACGTAACATTGTTAAAATGTCTATACTACCCAAAGCAATCTATAGATTCAACACAACCCCCATCAAAATACTAATGGCATTCTTCACAAAACTAGAGCAAATACTCTTAAAATTTATATGGAACCACAAAAGACCCTGAATAGCCACAGCAATCTTAAGAACAACAAAGTTGGAGGTATCACAATAGTGTTGGCATAAAAACAGAAACATAGATCAATGGAACAGAATAGAGAACCCAGAATATAGTCAATAATATTGTAATAGCTATGTATGGTGTCAGGTGGGTATTACAATAATCAGGGGGAATACTTTGTAAATTATATAAATGTCTAACCACTATGCTATACACCTGAAACTAATATAAAATAATGCTAAAAGTCAAGTGCCATTAAAAACTAACTAAATATCAGTATTATGGAAAAGAAAAAAAGAAACACACTCTCACAGTTGACAGTCCCTGGGGGATGGAAGGGGACACTAATACAAACTGGAGTAGGTGGTATTCCCTCAGGTGGTGATTGGGAAAGGCTGAGAAACAACAACACAGAAGAACAAACATGCAAAAGTATTTTGTGGCAACGGAAGGCAGTCTAAAAAATGAGTATTCTCATCTTAGTTTTTATTTCTTTTACGAAACAATTATTTTAAAACTTTCTTACAAAAAAAATTTTTAAAGACATAAATGACATGCAGGAAATGAGAATAATATTTCTCTAATACAAAGGCAGTAAAGTAAACAATTTTTCAGGTGCGAGACAGCACACATAGCACATTTATTCACTAAACCAGAATCCCCTGAATTAATCACTTCTGTTTTTTCCAGCATCAGCGTTATTGGTTGTGGTAGCATCCTCCCAAGTAATTGCCAGAGGCATCCCGAGGGTTTCTGGAAGTTTGAATGTTAGTATTCCACTCACAAAGGCCAAAATCCCGACAAGCAACTAGAAGGAATTTTTAAAAATAGTAATAAGTAACACATCAAGAAATAAATGTACCCTACAAAGAATAACTCTGAACCTTTTTCAGAGGGATATAGAATTGAATTTGACATACCAGTTGACATTTTTATTCTGCTGTGAAACCTTTGGTTATTTAGGTTGGACTGGGAGTTTTTTAACCCATTGTCTAGGCTTAATCTGATCACTCATTAATTCATTAATTACCCCTGTGGAGCACCTACTTAATAAATCCCAGTTACTGCCTCCATTATTACTCTTACAGGCACTGTCCTAGGAGCTGCTACACAGAGAGAAAAAAAGACGTATGAAAAGATCCTCAGCACTGACCACCAGAGAAATGCAAATCAAAACCACAATGGGATATCACCTCACATCTGTCAGAATGGCTATCATCAATAGCCCCGTCCCATTTCCCCAGACTCCAGAGTCTTGTGGAGAAACCCGGAAACTGAGCCTTGGGTTGGGGCCTCACAGTCAGGGACTGTCTTAATCAACCCTGTCCCTGCCCCAATAATCAGTACACTATCAGCATGCAATATATGATAGGGAATGAATGAATGCATATACACTTGCACGAATGAATGTTTCAATGAACCAAAACCTACAGAATTTAAGGGCAAACAAAACAAGGGCAATGGAAACTAATTGCTACTTTGGAGAGGGGGTCCATCTGACTTCCTATAAAAATTCACTATTTCTTTACTTTCCAGATTTCTACACATAAAAAGCAACCTTTTAGACTAGCACCAGGTGTTTGTCTTTAAAAATGCAAATCACATTAACAATTAAAGTCTACATATTTATTCTCTATTGACCATTATGAAGATGTTGGGTGGATTTTAGAACTAAATCTTTATACAGTCTGTAAAAATGCGTGCTGTCCTTACATAATTTAAATTCTTGTAGCAAAAAACACTGCCTGGGAAGAGCCCATAAAAATAACAAGGCATGTTTTTTCTGATAAATCTAAATACTTGGAGCTTTCACAGCCTCTGAGAAAGAGAAAGATGAAACACACAGTGCCACTGTGACATGATATGAGGCAACTTCAGTAACAGACGTGACCTGGGAAGTCAGCTTTTTATTTTGTCTTACAGAAGGCTGATAATCTAAATCTTAGAAATACATGAGAAAACCTAGAAGCAGTAATGGGCTTTAAAGTGACATTCTCAAACCCACCTTTAGTCCAAATGATCTTGCTTTCTGACCTCTGAGCCCCTGCCCATCTCTCCAGACTTAACTCCTGACTCCTACAACCCACCCCGGCTATTAGCAATAACACTTGCATCCAAATCCAAACTGGCCAGGTTGCTTTTCCCTCCGAGCCTTTTGCCTTTCTGTTCCCTCTGCCTAGAATTCCCTTCTCCACCAGGCTGGGTCTTACTGGCCCCTCCAGATACAGATTAAAGGCCTCCTCCTCCAGGAAGCCTTCCCCACTGGCCCTAGCCTGGGTCGGTAGCCTTCTCCTAGAAGCCCATGACCCCGCATTTCCCCGCACAGCCGTCATCTCTGGGTTTGCTCTCCTTCCTTCCCGTTAGACTAGACGTCTCTCAGGACAGCAGCTGTTCCTTTCATCTCTGCTCCTTAGCACCTAGCACACAGGTTAGCTCAAAATCAACATGCACTAAACTCCTGCCAAATGCACTAATACAAAACGATATGAATTAGGTGTGCACTTTCTTTAGATTACTAGAAAATAATGGTTGATAATAAAAGCATCAGAACAAGTGATCTCCATGTGCTTACTTTCAAAAGAGGAAATACAAACTTATCATCTAGATCAGTGTTTCCATTCCTCAGAATGAAAACCCTGGCTTCCAGGCAGCTTATTGAGAAAGTGAATAATCTATTTTTTTTACTCATTAAAAGCAAGCAACGTCAGTTGTCTAGAGAGGAAGCACATTCACAGAACATTTCTGCAAACATACACAAGGCACTGTTGAGAGAGGCTGTCTTGGGAAGGGGGGGACTGGGGCAGTCAGGGGTCAGGGTGGAGGGGGAGCTTACTTATCTGCAATCCCTTTTGTACCGTTGGTTGGTTTAACTGGGGAAACGGCATGGTATTTGGGTATGAATCCAAGCTCTGCCACCTTAACGGTGTGTGACCCTGGGCTAATAATGACTTTCTGTACATCAGTCTCCCCATCTGTAAAATGGGGATAGCAGTAAGCACTATCTGCATTCTCTGAAGACTAATTTTTGTAAAGCACTTAAAAAAGAGCTTGTCACATCAAAAGCACTATTTAAGTATCTGTTAAGTAAAATTTAAAAATCCCTTTTAACAAGTCCTTAACTGATCCTTGCGGATGTCATTTAAGAAAAGTCTTTATTTGGTTTTAGTAAATTTATAGCGGTTTGCTTTGATAGATTTATCTATCTTCTGTGCATTTCAGCTTATTGTTTTAAAAAACACCTTTCCCATTTTTATCTTTTATTTATTGAATGTGCTATCACAAAGAGATGCTTCTAGAAGAGTTGATACCTTAAAATGGGTGTGGAGAAAGGGAAACCCTAGTACACTGCTGGTAGGAATGCAGACTGGTGCAGCCACTATGGAAAACAGTATGGAGGTTCCTCAAAACATTAGAAATGGAGCTGCCTTTTGAACCAGTGATTCCACTCCTAGGAATGTATTCTAAGAATCCTGAAACACTAATCAGAAAGAATATATGTACCCCAATGTTCACAGCAGCACAGTTTACAATAGCTAAGATCTGGAAACAGCCCAAGTGCCCCTCAGTAGATGAGTGGATAAAAAAGCTGTGGGGCATTCACACCATGGAATACCATGCAGCTGTGAAGAAGAAGGATCTCGTACCCTTTGGGACAGTATGGATGGACCTGGAGAATATTATGCGAAGTGAAATAAGCCAGGCAGAGAAAGACAAACATCACATGATCTCGCTTATATGTGGAATCTAAAGAACTTAATAAACTGATGAACAGAATAGATTCAATGACATGGAAGCACAGATCAGACTGATGAATGTNACATCACATGATCTCGCTTATATGTGGAATCTAAAGAACTTAATAAACTGATGAACAGAATAGATTCAATGACATGGAAGCATAGATGAGGCTGACAAATGTCAGAGGGACGGAGGAGGGCAGGTGGGTGGAAGGGGAGAGAGTAACCAAAGAATTTATATGCATATATGCACAACCCAGGGACACGGACAATGGTGGAGAGAGGGACTGGGGAGGGCCTCGGGAAGGGACGGGGTGGAACGGGTCATTGGGGAGAAAAAAGGACATCTGTAATACTTTAAACAAAAATAAAATTTAAAAAAAAAAAAAATGGGTCGTGGACTCTCCAAAAACACCTCCCTGTGTAAGCCAGACAGCCAATGAAAGACACTGGCATTCCAATACCCCAATTAAGCAAACTTGGCTGAATGCCTGCTCTAAAACATGAAAGTTGCTCATGCCAGGCCAGTGATTCCCAAAGAACAGATGGACACCCACCTGTGTGCGCAAGGAGATTTCCAGTAGTATCAAACACTCTGTTTTATTTCTTGTGAGATTCTGTTAGTGTATTTTAGAAAAACATATAACTAGTATAACACCCATGATTTCACTGTTATCATTTTAAAAACAAGTCTATTTGGTTTAAAATATTAAATAAATTTAAACAAGAGTAGCACAGAAGGTAAGGAAATGCTTTGCTGGACCCAGTGGTGGGGATATAAAACGTCCTACCCTGCAGGAGTTCAGGTTAACTGTTGGGAACACAAAGATGTATGTGCAAATAAGGCCAGCCTGTGACAGGGGACTGAAAGGGCCAAGCATGAAATGCTGTGCAGACGTGGGAAAGGGAGAGTCACTGGATCTGGACGGCCTATTTGGAGAAGTGGAATTTTCTCTGCACGGTAAAGGCCACACAGGGACTGCCTCCTCTAAAGTCCCACAGTGCTGGGCCTCCCACTGGCCATCGGGCAGAAGCAGTGCGGGAGGATGAGCTGGGAACAAGCTCCAGGACAGCCTCGTCCAGAAGTCCCTGGCGAGGCAGCTGCTATCCACGAAGCCTGGGAAGACCCCAGAGAGGGACTGTGTTGGGTCAACGGCCATGGACTCCATGGAAGTACTGGGAAGAAATCACTGCCTTAAGTCATCTCACAGTTCTGGTAGCCCTGCAAGGCGCTGTCTCAGATGGAGGTCACGGTTGTGAGATGTTTGAGTCCTAACAGTTCTTGGATTTACCTCTTAAAAAGGAAAAAAAAAAAAAAAAAGGTCTATGCCTGTCTATCTATATATCTATCATAAAATGTGATTTAGGTGTGAAAGAGTCATCAAACAAATGCAGTTTAAGAAAAAATGATGAAGAAAGCACATCACTCTCTTGATCACCCACAACAAAACAGTGCTCACGCCCCAGACTCCTGCCTCCCCCGTACACACAGTGGTCCCGATTTAGTCACTTAGCCTGTTTTCCTGGTTTTAATATCACTTTCATGGCTACAGGATGTCCATGTAAAACTGTTTCTATTCTCTTAAAAAAAATAAAATTAAAGACACATGGAAGTTTGGCAAGGGGGGATGGGAGAGGAGCACTCTCTACGGAGCAGTTGTGGGGGGGGTGGAGAGGAGGGGGAGGTGTGTGAGGAACCAAAACAAACTAGGTTAGATGGGCAAGGCTTCCATCTTGAAAGGGCTTGGATTGAATCAGGTACAGTTTGGGTTTTATTCTGAAGGTCAGGGGACAGTTGGAGCCGAGCTGTGGTTCAGCACACTATTCTGGGGTGGGGGGTGGAGTGCAGGGAAAAGGCCTGGAGGTGGAAGTTGACGAGGGATTGAACCAGAAGCAGGTCATCTGGGATGGTTTTGAGAGAGAACATGATTTAGTGTCCTGGATTGGAAGGACAGGGGGAAAGAACAGGACAAATAAGTAGCTGATGCTAAGGTGTCATGCTGGAGGCCACTAGCTCCTAATCCAAAGTGGGAGACAGAGGAGGAAATTTAAGTCACCAACCAGCTCATTT